AGCTTCTCCTGCAGCTTCATACAGTCGAACAGCGTCGCCAAATCCCTATGCTCCATCCAACGCTGGAGGAAGGCCGCGAGCACAGACGACTACTGCTTCAGCTCAGGCTTACGGTACACCTGTCGGACGTAACACGTACACGTCTACACGTGGTGCATCACCAACTGTCAATATACAAAGTGCTGCCGCAACCAAGCCTCTGCAACAACAGCCTCCGCAGCAGAAACCCGTGCAGCAGCCGGTCCAACAGAAGCCTCCTCAGCAGCAACCCCCACAGCAAAAGCCTGTTCAGCAGCAACCTCCTCCTCAGCAGCCGCCTCAGCAGCCTGCCCAAGCTGCTCCATCTCCTCTTCAACAACCCCCTCAGCCTGCTTTTGCCCAATCGCAGTCTCGTCCGCAATCTCGCGCAGCTGCATCCTCTCGAGCCGCCAGCCCCAACCCTGCATTCCGTCAGTCGACTGAACGGCCAGGCAGCTCACGAGGAAGCGAGATGGCGCTTGCTCTTTCCACTGCAGGTAGCGAGCGTGGCGAAGGTAGCGTTTACGGAGGAAGCCAGTACGGAGGCAGTGTACGAGGTCGACCCAGCACCACCGCCCGCCCCCAGAGTTCCTACATGGGCGGCAGCGAATTTGGCTTCAACGGCGGCTCTGGCTCTTCTGTTCGCGCAGAGTCCCGAGTCCGCAGCAAAAGTCTGGCTGAGCCGAAGAATTATAACAGTCAAGGTAGATTGATTTTGAACTACTGTAAGTTTACTCCTTCCCCTTATACATGATTCTTGTCGAGAAAAAAAAATTACAAAGGCTAATGATAACAACAGCTCGTGCCATGTACTCGTACGCAGCGCAGATTCCAGAGGAATTAGGATTCCAGAAGGGAGATATTCTGGCTGTCCTCCGTCTGCAGGATGATGGATGGTGGGAGGCCGAGGCGGTGGGAAAGCAAGGTCGACCAGGGCTTGTGCCGTCGAACTATTTGCAGCCGTGCTAGACGGGCTTGTTGGATGCATGAGGAAAGCAAGAGAGGGAGTGTGTGTGTGTGTGTGTGTATAGGCTTTGAGGCTTTGATTCGTTTCTGCTTGGTTCTTGATTTAGCGACTTTGATTGCACATACCCTCGTTTTTTAGCACTAGTTTGGCGTTGGCAGGTGTGTTTATTGTGTATCTGTATTTGATTTATCGATGAGGAGATGGATGAATAGTGCTAGATGGCACGCAGCGATAAATTGAATACGATATCAAATCCAGATTACACACATGGTCATTGGAAGCAGCAGTATGGCGCCATGTCCTTGATGAAATAGAGATTTGGGTATCTAAGATTGATTGAAACGCCTAGTCATGCTTGAATGTAGTAAATGATGATCCATACGCCATGTGCTTATGCCTTTTCGCAGACGCCTATGTTCAATGAGAAAGCGTATATACGACCATATTCGTATACAATATGCCCTGAAAACACGCTACGACGACTATTCGTACGTGTTTTCGTAAGGATCAGCATCGTCAATGTCGTCATCCTCGCCGTTGTCAAAGTACTGCTCAGCATTATAATCGTCATCTGACTCTTCCGAGTCCGTAGACGCAGCAGACCAATTATCTTCCTCGTCGACAGCGTCGGGCTTGTCCTCATCGGCGTCTTCTTCTTCCTCGTCGCCTTCTTCGTCGCCTTCTTCTTCGGCACGGGCTTCGGCTTCGTTGGTGCGCAGTTGCTCGGACTTGATGAGTCGCTCGATTTGGGACTCGGCGTTGACCTTGCTAACGCCCAGGGTCCTGCGCTTCTTGCTTGTGTTACCGTCGGCGCGTGTTCCGTCTAGTGTCGGTCGTAGCTCAGCGGGAAAGAGATCGACGACTGTGGTTTTGTTAGGGTTCATCCTCCGGTAAGTGTGGCTATCTACGCAAGCGACTCACCATATGGCCGGGCATCCAACTTGGGTAGTCTCCTCCGCACTTTGAGGTACTTTGCAGAGTATGTCTGATTTCCGGTAAAAGGGTCGAAGAGGGAGGCCTCGGTGGGCGCAGGTTCGTTGGCTTTCCTCTTGAGACCGTTCTTCATGCCGTCATTGAGGATGGTGTAGAATGGGCCTTCGTGTATGCGGTCGCGCACGGCGAGGTGGTGCCGGACTATACCCAGCTCATCGTCGGTTGGTGGAGGCGCTTGTGGAGGAGGAGCATCCTGTTCATGTCTCAGCGGGAGTTCAAAAGGCGTGCTCTATGCGATGCGCCAAGCTCGTGGTGCTCTTTTGGGTTGCGCAGACGGGCAATAGCGCGCAACACTTGGACAGGAAAATCTCACAGGAAAGCGCTCGGCAGGCCCTCTCTGAATGTCGAGGCCAGTCAGATCCCAGTTGAGCTCTGTGCCGGCAATGGTTACTGTTCCTCGCGCGGGATTGAAAGCCCCTCCTCCGCGCCCACCCCGCGCGCCGCCCCGTCCTCCTCTTGCTGCAGGTGGCATCCTTTACTAGCAGTCTTTTATAATATGCGCCGGGGCTGCGTGATGCTTACGTCGCGGTTATGAGTGGGTGCGGTGTCGTCGAGATAAGGATTGGAGCAAGTTGCCGAGTCAGAAATTATTTCGGTGCAGCTCGAGCCGCGACGTGCTAGTTAGGTACGTTCCGTTCCCTAGGGCTGAGAGTGGGGTCCCACCTGCAAGCTTACTTACATGCCCCGCCACCCTACGCCCCCAGTTATCGAGGCTACAGGGAACGCGTGCACTCGACTCCATACGCGCAATCACATGAGCACAAGCTAGAACCTTCCTTTTCACCCTGCTTACCTGCCACGTTCTAGACTAGACATGTCATAACCCTCTGGGTGCGTCGACATCACAGCTGGCATCCTCCTACTCCATCCCCTCACCCAGAGCTCAGCCATGGCAGCATCCACAGCAGCATTCGGCGAGCTCTCGGATCACCTGCAAAAGGTTGACCAAGACCCTACCTGTTCATTGGACACAGACCTACTCGAGCAGTGTGAGCTCTCTATAAACACGCCTGAATATAGAAGTCACGTTTGGAAGGAGACAAGACCACTTTTTCTGCAAATCGCTGCCTTGCTACCCAAACTCCAGCAGGATCCGTCACCACTTGTCCATTTCGTCGTCAAGTTGATTGGGCCATACCGGTTCGAAGACATCAAAGACATCGACTTCGAAATCGGCTTGGATCTACAAGCTGCTCCATTTCACAGTCTCCTTCTCACATTGCTTGAGAAGGCCACTGCAAGCAGTACAGACGCCCAAGCACTTGCCAACCGTCCAACAGTCATATCAGCCATAGTCCGCCTGTGGCTATGCACTCAGGACGAGGGAGTTGCAACGCAGGCTGAAGATCTCCTCACCTCACTACTGGAGGTGTCTAAGAATGAGCCTGTGGCCATAGACGGCAATTCATCATTGCACACATATGGCACTGGGCCTATATGGCGACGGCTTTTCAGCGACCGCGACATCAGCTCGCTTTACTACCACTACACGTCATTGAAAGTGCTCTCTGCCCCACCTCTTCCGTGGCTGAGCAAGCACGACAAGACTATCTCCCAGGCCAGGCTACTATCATGGCTACCACGCGTTGCTGCCATGGATTGGAATGCCGTGGTCTCTTCTTATGGTCTCGATGTGGAACGAGACGTCGGCTTGAGGGAAGACCAAGGCTTACTCCACTACGCCGCACTAAAGATGGTCGACAAGGAAGATGATATGCTCATGCATATGTCGCTACTTCAGTTTTACAGCGCACTCCTCACCAAAGTCAAGACAAGACCTCACCTTTCTCATTACGACTCGAGTCTCTCTTTAGACTTTCTCAAGAAGGAAGGTATTCACAAAGACCTTGTCGACTTTCACACCTCAGAAAATCCCAGCCTCGACCATTCTTTCTTAAGCAGCCGGACTGCGCAGTATATCAGCGATTACGCCTCGTGCTACCCTGAGAATTTTGAGAACAGCGAAGAGATGCCGATCATTCGAAACTATGTCCACCGCAATATCCGCAAGTGCGAAGCAAGTAATCTGAACATCATCGCCGCAATGCCGAGGTCGACACTGATACCCAGAAGAGCTTCCGGGCCAGCTTGGGACGATTGCGTAATTGTTGATATGCCAATCACCAGGACAAACCAAGATGCTTTGAAAACACTGGCTGCCATCTTCCACGGCCCGCCAAAGGAAGAAATCACTTTCCCACGGGTTGAAACCATCGGCTCTGATAGCAAACGCACACAGACGGAAGCAGTATACGCACGTCTGTTGACGGCTCTTTTCTGGAGCAAGAAGCCGAGTATGTTCACTGACATTACGACTCACATGGAGACGATCGCCATGAAGGAGAACGCATTGGCAGCACTGACGCTCGTTGGCGCCTTGATAACCTCTACATGGTCAACAGAGCCCGTACCAGATGTTCCCGCCGACGACCCAACATATGCCCGCCTCAACAACTTTCCAAAATCTGGTCTCGATCTCATTCTCGATCCCACCATCAGTGGTGGAATATTCCCCTCACTGTTGAAGCCAGCTACCACCTTCTCCAACCTTGTCGGTGGCCGTGGCGACGCTGAGAATGCGGCTTACATAGTGGCAAGTGCAAAATTCGAAGTCTTGAAGACGCTGGGAAGGAAGCTCGAAGAGGATGGCAGTAGACAGGATGTGCTTACTATGGTTAGGAGGAGAGTAGGCGAGGGAGTTTGGGGGGATAGGTCTAACGCAGGAAGCAGGATTGGAACGCTGGAGTTGTGATGGGTCACTGCTTGAACGGTACGGCTCTTCGTTACCGCGTCTCCATGCCTGGTACGACTGATATATGTCGGCAGCAAGGAACATCGGACTTCCCCCACTACAGATATCGAAATGACATGGATATAAAAAATACTACCAACTACTGAGCACCTCGTTGTCAAGTTTTCACGTCATCAACACCTCCGCCGTCAACCGCAGAACATGACGAAGCAAAAAGACTGCAAGAGGAAAAAAAAGAACCTGGAGTATCTGGCGAAGCCAGACGAATGCTGATGAGAGTGGGACTCGAACCCACGCCACTTTCGTGACCAGGAATATGATGTTAAGATAACCTTAACCTGGCGCCATAACCAACTCGGCCATCTCACCAATGTTTTGGTACTTCGATGACTAATCGTGAAATTGATTTGGTCTTGTATTCAGCGTGAATGAAGAGGTTCGAATGTATGATAGGATAGGCCTGTATCCGTTCTGTCGAGATTGGACTTGGGTGGGTGGGTGAAGTGCGGGAAGCTAGAGTTTTTTTTTTCACAGGTGGGGCGTGGGCCTAGTAGGAAAAAAATGTTGGTGTGAACGACCATCGAACGGTGCGGGACGTGATGAACATGAAAAGCCTTGCGTTAATGATCACTAGATTATCATACTAACTATCATGTACATTTTATAATTAAATAGTATCGAGAGCTTGACGGAAAAAGTTCTTCTTTGCGCAGCCAACTGGTACTGACTTAAAGCGCTGAGAACAACAGAGAGGTAAGAAGGAATAATGTGAACCCTTCTCGTTAGTTCAAAGTCGTATTCAAGACATTAAGGAAATAAACATTACTAGTTGCTTCGTATCAGCACAAGACTACGCTGTGTATGCAAAAGATTAGTAGTCTGCCTGGTATCGTCCTCGTGGGTGGATTCAACAAGACGTAATCACCATTTGCAGCGCTGGTTTTCATAGTTCCACTCAAAAGCGCTCATGATACCATAATAATGAGCTACCGCGCCTAGAACAACGGCAACGTGGAAGATCTGGTGTGATGCACCGCAAATGTCATACCGTTTGGGTTTCCAGGATTCGGGAAAATGTGCCTGCGATACATGTTAACATGAGCAATCAGAAGATGTGTGGTAGGAGTGTAAGAGCTTACGGCATAGAACCCGACGCCAATCAATATCAAGATTCCTTCCAAGAAATAATAACGTAAGCCCGACTGCTGATCCAACTGGCCGTATGGAAAGATGCTGCTGGCATGAACAATCGGCGCAAAGGCCGAAAGCCCCATGGCCACAAACACTGACAACCGTAACGTCTTCCACTTTGGTTCTTGAAGGCCTGGGTTCAAGACAATAGTTGCCGCCAATGCCCCAAGAGTGACAATCTGAACAGAAAACAGTAGTAGTTAGCATTCAATATCATCACCTTAAATTTACAAAACGTACCATAGTCCAATAAAGCTTCTGCAGATTTGGCTCACAGTAAAACGCAAAGTAGATGCCCGGCACAAAGGACCCCACGATCTGTACCACGATACCCACATAGTCGAGGCGAACCCAGAGCTTCGCAAACAGCTGCGAATGGCACAGCAGCGTGTGGTACGCAGCCGACATGCCGAAGCAGATGACACAGGTAGTCAAGAAGATGCGGAACATGAGTTCATCCTTCCATGACGCATGGGGAAACCGCTCTGCGAAGTTGAGGCTGAAAGAGTGACTGCCCAGGAGACTGAGTAGTGCGGGAATGAGGTGCGAGTAGATGTTGATAGTTTCATTATGGAGATAGGCGAGGCTTTGGATGCAGAGGCGAGTGGATTTTGTGACGGGGCGGTAGGCGGTTTGGATGTAGTTGTTGTGGGCATACCAGGATGGTACTTCATCACTTTGATAGAGCTTCGGTGCTGTGAAGGGGAAAGATGGTGCTAAGATATGCTTTTGGGATACAGCGCGAGTATTCTGGTGGGAAGTCATGCTTCAGTCGTAGTGTTTGTCGCGATTCCGGGGATCCGAGTGGTAAAAAGAGTGTGTTATGCAAAACAATAACAATGGGTATTAAGCGCTGCTTTGGCAGTAGCAACGTCTCCAGCCACGGGATCTCCAATCGACCTTGTGTTAGATTTGGCAGGGACAACAGTCGTTTTGCGCATCCCAAAGACAAAAGAAAGAGACGAGAACAAGTTTTCCCAAAACCCTGCCCTGACTACAAAGCATGTGGTCGCATCAGGTGGGTTGCCGGGGCGGGCCAATTTCGGCACGAAATTGCTTCGATCCCGAAAAGGGGGGGTTTGGTAACTGTAAGCAATGACGCAAGGGCCTTGGGATCTCGAAACCAACGGTCGATCGTCCGTAAACGGCAGACATGCAGGTACATGACTTGTCTTGAATCGTGATATGTTCAGTTTATTGAGAATTTGCTAGCGCATTATACTGTGTCTGCCTTCACGAAGCGATTGCTTAACTCAGTTCTTCCAGAGAATCATTAGGGCTGTCTCCAGGCCAGTCGCAAAGACCCCTGTTAATGACGCTTTAGTCATATCCTGTTCGAGTATAGCCGCATGTGTTATGGTTCAAGAGGTCGCATACGGTCAAGGCGTTGGCAAAGCAGCAGGGTGGGGGTAGGAAAGTGGTAGTTGAAGACAGTGGAAGGAAAGTGCCCTGATACACATCAGCCCTGTTAGTTGCGGAAATAAAACACCGCATTAGCGCTACAGTCTCGAAATGTCCGCGTACCCCAGCCCTTCATCTGCTCCACAAACAATGGTCATTCTTTCGTACGACAGAGGATCATTATTCCTTTCTCGCCGCCAAATTGGCACATTTCTTGAAAGTTGCGACCTTGTTTTTCATCAAAAGAACGCAGAAGTACAACAGCTTCAAAGTTCTGCTCTGTGACAGCCCAACCAAACCAAAAAAAGGATTTGATGAGAACAGGGCGGAAATATTGGAGAGCCTCAAAGTGAACACGTATATTCCCTGGGGGAGCGGCGTCGATGTTATGTTCTTTGTCCCTCCAGTCCAAATCTAGTACAGCGTTCTGAGGCGTTTCCATTATTGCTCGTAATGGGTTACATGATGACCTCGATAGATTTTGAGCGCCTCATATTCTATTGCAAAGTCCCTAACATCAATCATTGCCTATTTCGATTGACCGATTGGCTCCATGAACCTGATCATATACGGTGAGATGAGAGTAGCTCCCTTCATGGTTGTAATCGATGAATAGGCCGTGGGCTTCAACCGGCAGGGAAATTGCATTACCACAGCAACAATGTACCGCTGGGGCTATAGTTTAAGATAAACCATCAGAAAGATTGAGGGGTTATTCACTGCCCATATTTATTCCTCGGCGCATTGTTGAACAATACTAGCAAATCAAACCGCATTCCATAGTTATCATCTCTGGCCCTTGGCCTTTCAGTTAGAGCAGAAGACTAGTAAGCAGTCTTTAGTTATACATGACGTAAAAAAGCACACATCACTTGCAAACACTACAATGACTGCGAGGGTAACTTTATTTCTCAATGAAGCACAAAAATACCTATCTCTTCTCGGATCGATCAGTAAAAACGGAAAATGGTGGCTCTTAACACCGATCCAAAATCACAAAACCACTACTTTTGCGTATGAACAGGAGATCTAAACTAATCTAGTACTTAAAACCATTACTATATATGTATGTATCTACAAGTATTGAAGGATCATTGTAACTAAATCGTTCTGTGGATAGCTCTTCTTTCGCCGTTTTGAATTTCTCGGTTTACCAGTCGACCAGGAGTCCCTTGGTTTCTAAAGTGGCGATAGGCACCATTGGTTTAGCCTAAGGCAATAACATCGTTGGGTTGATCTAAGCCTTTAGATAAGATAGCACGTGACGCAGAGAAGAATGGTGGTCACTTATATGTACACCTCGGCAAGAGAGACTAAAAGCGTGGTGGCTTGGGAGTGAAACCAGCTGGTCTTCTGACGCAGCTCGCATGCCCGCAGTTCTGGTGGGCTGAGGGGCGGCCTGTCGTTATTTTAAGACACTTTTGATTGGTCAATCACCACAGGCAAGCCTTCGACACAAAATGAACTTGAAAATGAAATACTGCTCTCGGTCCTGCATCGCCGCCTGGCGTTTGGAGTGCCCCGGACTGCTGTGGGCGTTCCGCATCGCTACCAGGCTGAGAGATTCGTATATCTATGGTATAGAGTCTCTTACTGCCAACACCGCGTCAAAAAGCTGACGTGAAATGCTGCACAGTAAAGAAGAACATGCATGTTGATGAAGCGAATAAGAACCCTACAGCGAGAATAGCCAGCATGGAGGGCGCATTAGCCATTCGGGAGCTAACCTCATTCAATGCTAGAACTACGGTGCCCTGCCCGTCAGCTCTGCACTAAAACCACCACCCAACAACCGCCAAACATTTTCTTGGCTGCATGCGAGGGCCATGTCCCTGGGCCCTCCTGCTGCAAGAATGTCCGCCCCGGTCCCTAGGCCACTCGGGCTCCACAACAATCACCATCCTTGCTTTGCGGGATGCTCAATGGTAGTGTACTGGGCTGGCCCCTCCATATTTAAAGACCCCCAATCCCAACCAGATCGATCAAACAAATCTACAAGATTCCCACGACATCAGGTCTTGTGTCTTCACTATACGCTGTCTTGTTCATGTTAATATAAAAAGTATTCGCTCCGTGGAACGCTTGGCAGCACTTTGCAAGGGAACATCTCCGTATATTTCGTTAGCACATACTTGAAGTTCTTCCGTCTCAATTGTTCCCACGTACGTACTCCTACTGCCCATGGCGCTGTGTACTAATACAGTTTCACAGCCTCACCATGCTCGCCCTACGCAGAAGTAAGCGCAACCAAAAAGCCACCAAACCCACTATCCTACCCACTCACAACCAAATACCACCACCAGCCAAGTACCATCATCGGCTTCCGGGTTATTCTGGATGGCGACTTAATCGCAAGGCCACCGCCATCATGCACAACCGCATCAGAACATTTTGGTTACTTTGCTTAAGCGCAGGAAGTCAGTTCGGCCTCTTTGTTCTTGCTTTTATCACCCTCGTCTATTATGCGAAGAGTATCTAGACGTGTAGGCCACAGTCGCTTTAGATGAGAGACTGCGATGGAGGTACATCAAGATCCTGACTACAACAAGGAGAAACCTTAGCTAAGTCAACAACGCTAGGTCAGAGTTTGAACAAAAGGCAGCTTTCAAAACAGCTGCTGACACCAACCGGCGTACAAATACCAAGTGTTCGGATATGTTTTTGGTCTTCATGGGATAAGAGGTCAAGCAGGAAAATAATGCAGGGTTTCAAGTGAGCATCGCTTATTACTGTATTTATACTACCCATGTATGAGAGTGATGAGCCAATACATAATT